GCCCAGATGGCATACATCCGAGAGTTCTGAAAGAACTCAAATGTGAACTTGTAGATCTCCTGACAAAGATATGTAATCTTTCCTTAAAATCTGCCTCCATTCCTGAGGATTGGAAGGTAGCTAATGTCACTCCCATCTTTAAAAAGGGTTCCAGAGGAGATCCGGGAAATTACAGGCCAGTCAGTCTGACGTCGATACCGGGTAAATTGGTGGAAACCATTATTAAGGAAAGAATTAGTAGGCACATAGATGAACAAAACCTATTGAGGCAGACTCAGCACGGTTTCTGTAAGGGAAGATCTTGTCTCACTAACCTGTTAGTGTTCTTTGAGGGGGTGAACAAACATGTGGACAAGGGGGATCCAATAGATATTATTTACCTTGACTTCCAGAAAGCTTTTGATAAAGTTCCTCATCAAAGGCTCCTAAGTAAGCTCAAAAATCATGGGATAGAAGGACAAGTCCTTTTATGGATCAAAAACTGGCTAGTTCATAGAAAACAGAGAGTGAGTGTAGGTGGGCAATTTTCTCAGTGGAGGGTGGTAAGCAGTGGGGTACCGCAGGGATCAGTACTTGGTCCACTGCTTTTTAACTTGTTCATTAATGATTTGGAGATGGGAGTAAGCAGTGAAGTGGCTAAATTTGCGGATGATACAAAGTTGTTCAGGGTGGTGAAAACCAGTGAGGATTGTGAGGCACTCCAAGGGGATCTGTCAAGGATGGGCGAGTGGGCGTCAACATGGCAAATGGGGTTCAATGTGGCCAAGTGCAAGGTGATGCACATTGGAGCCAAAAATCCTAAATATAAATACACATTGATGGGGTCTGAACTGGCAGAGACTGAGCAAGAGAGAGATCTTGGAGTTGTAGTGGATAACTCACTGAAAATGTCGAGACAGTGTGTGACTGCAATAAAGAAGGCCAATGCTATGCTGGGGATTATTAGGAAGGGTATTGAAAACAGATCAGCCAATATAATAATGCCCCTATATAAATCAATGGTGAGACCTCATTTGGAATACTGTGTGCAGTTCTGGGCACCACACCTTAAAAAGGATATTATAGCTTTGGAAAAAGTGCAGAAAAGGGCAACTCGAATGATAAAAGGGTTGGAACACTTTCCCTATGAGGAAAGGTTAAAGCGCTTAGGGCTCTTTAGCTTGGAGAAAAGACGACTGAGGGGTGACATGATCGAGGTTTATAAGATTATGCATGGGAAAGAGCAGGTAAAGAAAGAGGTAATTTTCTCCCTTTCTCACAATACAAGAACTCGTGGGCACTCCATGAAACTGCAGAGCAGTCGGGTTAGAACGGATAAAAGGAAGTACTTCTTCACCCAAAGAGTGATTAACACATGGAATTCACTGCCACAGGAAGTGGTGGGTGCTACAAGCATGGACGGCTTCAAAAGGGAATTAGATAAGCATATGGAGCAGAGGTCCATCAGTGGCTATTAGCCACAAGGTATAGCTAGGGGCTCTGGGGCAAGTGATGCTCTGTCTTCTTGGTGCTTGGGGGGGGGTCAACAGTGGAAGGGCTTCTAATGTCCTGGCCCCACTGCTGGACCTCCTGATGGCACTGGTATTTCTGGCCACTGTGTGACACAGAGTGTTGGACTGGATGGGCCTTTGGCCTGATCCAACATTGGCGTCTCTTATGTTCTTATGATGTGTATTTATATTTAGGATTTCTGGCTCCAGTGTGCATTGGCGGGCTCCTGTGTGCCTGGGAAGGGGTGTGGCCAGTGCCTCCGGGTGGGAGGTGCTTAGTCCTGGTTTTGCATATGTATGAGTGTTCAGAAGCTGCTGTAAGTCCCACATGGTGGAAGAAAGCATTGTGCCAGCAAACAAATTAGTATGTGAACATAGTGCTTGTAAGGAAATAAGATGCAAGAGTTTTATGCCTGCCAGAAACTTGTGTTGACTGGCAGGGCGACCAATGGGCATTTCAAATTAATCCCTCCCCCTCTACACATGCAGTGAACACCATTCCACACCCGGAAGATGACAAAAAAACCCTCCAGGATCCCTGGGGGCCAAACTGGCCTGGAGAAAAATTACTTCTTGACCCCAGCCTGGCGATCAGCATTTCCCTGGGAGTGTAAAAAAGGGCCACAAGAACTAAGCACTGAGGCAGCCCTTCCCGCCCGCCCTCTCGTGACCTGCCTAAGTTCACACAATCAGCCTTCCTTCTTCAATAGGATTTCTTTTTAAGGAGGTGGGCCGATTGAGAGGCCCTCTGGCCCAATGGGGGTGGCTTCATTGGGCAAGACCCTTTTAAAACTCAAGAGTCACCTGCTTTAGATGCACCTGCTGCCCAAATTGGGATGGATGCTCCTGATGAAACCGATCGGGGGAAATGGTCCAGCCATCAGAGGGGTTTTTAATGAGTCCTCCGTAAGTCAGGTGAGGCCACTCCCCCCCCCCATGCCTCCAAAGGCAGATTTAGAGCAACAGAAAGGCAGACGTGACAAGAGATGCTGACGGGGCTCCCCAAAGTAACCGCACGACAGCTTGGCGGGCAGGACACCCCAGCCCCACCCCAGACCAGGGGAAACCAGAGTTTTCCATTTAAAGTGGTCACGAGGCAGGTGTAATGAGGTAGATGTTGTTTCATGAGGTTTGTGTTGTGTGACGGAGCCCACCCACCCGGCAGAGGCAGCCACCCTCCCACCCAAGCAACAAGGGCGCAGCCCGCAGGCTGGATGACCCACGAGGTGGGGAGGAGGAGGAATGGGGGGGACAAGGCAGGGGGGCAACCGGAGTCCTGGATCGTACCCCGTGAGGTCCAGGGGGGGGCAGCCCAGCAGGGGGAGCGGACCTTGAAGAAAGCCAGCTCATCCACCCTGGCCGGGTCCAGGCGGGAGTGCTGGGGGCTGAGGATGTCTCCCAAGTGGGAGAAGACCCCCACTCGCTCTGGACCCTGGTGGGAGGGCAGGAGACGAGGCTCACGGCCATGATGCGAGAGAGCGTGGCTGGGCCGGGTGCTCCAGGCCTTGCGTGACCAGTGCTCCAGGGGGATGGCAGAGGCTGCGGGCCCAGGGGACTCGGGCGAGGTGCTCCCTCGCCATCACCTCTGCCGAATCCTCCACCATCGCAATGATCCTGAGCCCCTCTTCCCCATGGAGGAGATGACATCTTGTACCGCAGCCTTCTGCTCCACCCAATGCGCCATCATGGAGTAGGTGGGCTTCAGGGCGCGCAGGAGTCCAGGATGAGCTGGTGTTCAGGTTCATCTCCCTGCCCCTGCCTCTCATGTGGCAGACGGGGAGACCTGATGCTACACAGGAAGTGGGAGGGGGCAGCGTCCCAGGTGGCCTGGACAATGCTCCCCAGCTCCAGAGCCTTCTTCACCCCCAGGGAAGGGCATGTGCCAGGCGGATGATGCCCCTGAGGTGCACAGCCTTGCCCTGACAGTCCAGACCGAGAGGCCCTCCGGTTGCCAGGCGTGGGGGAGTGCGGGCCTCTCTTCCCCTCTGCTAGCGGCAACATCGTGGGGTGGCGCACCCTTGGCAGGGGCCTGCGGAGGACGGAGGAGGAGGAGAAGGGTCGGTGGCTTGTGCCAGTTTGGTGACGTGGTTAGGAGCAACAGACTCTAACCTGGGAGAACCGAGTCATCCTCCATGTGCAGCTGCTGGTGTGACCTCCTGAGAGGGGGGGGAGACCGAGTGGCAATAGACGGGGCGGGGGGGCCCTCGTCTTCCGGCCTGGGCCCACCCCGCCTTCTGGAAAGGAATGCCAGGCTGACCTTGAGGCCTGGGCCCCAACAAACCTTCCCTTCATGGGGGGGGGTGTTATTCACCCCTACAGGGGAGGTGGGGGCAGAACTAAACAAGACCTCCATCTCGGCTGGGCACACACGGCCTCCTCCCTCTGATCACCCACGTTTACTGGCTGCATGACACTGTTCTCACTGCATTTTTTAAAACGGGCACAATCCACCCCAGCTCTCATTGGGAAAGGTGCATTTTGTAACAGATGACTGGACCCCCCACCCTCTCCTCCTCCTCCGCTTTGCTCCAGGCTCCCGGGGGCTGATTCCTGCCTGGCTCATTGGCCTGCCACCCCCTTCTTCCACCGCCCCCCGGCTGGGGCTCCTGCCCGCCCTCTGGAGCTGGCTCTGTCGCCACCCGCCCCCTCCCCTGGCCGTTCGAGGGAAGGGTGGTGCAGGAGAAGGGCGACCCCTGGCCCCCCACTCTTGGGCCCCAAGATGCCCTGTGTGTGCGCAGTGGAGGGAGCGGGCATAGGTGGGAGACACCCAGCGCTGCCTTCCTGTCCATGAATGTGCTCCCTCTCTCCCCTCCCCATCTGATCTTTCCACTTGGATGCCTCCTCTCAACGCCAGGATATGCCCAAGCTTCTCAACTTTCCTCCCGAGGTCTTCTCTGGGGCACAGGCTCCCGATCCTGCAAGGCCATCTGCACCCTTGGCTTCCCCTTCCCCTCGCCTTCTGGTGCGTTCTCAGGAGGGCGCCTGGCTCCAAGTCATGGCCTTTTTCTCCTGACGACAGTGGCAAAGGTGACTCTTGTTTTCTTCCCCACCCCCACCCCGAGCTTTCTTGCCCCGGCACTCAGCTCCCAAAGCCATTCCCCTCCCCCCATTCTGACCACCTGCCTTGCCCCCCTAACCCTAACCCTCCCCAGCCTTCCCACCAGCCTCGTGTGGCACTGGGGCTCCCTGCTGGTGTCTCCTCTGGCCCTCTGCCCCCCACCCCCCAGCAGCGTTGCTTGCACCGTCCTCTCCTTGGCACCACAGAAAGCACCCCAAAGGGGCTGGAGAGCTCTGGCGAGGGGTGTGTGTGTGGGGTGTGGCAGCGGCAGCAGCGGCCATCCCTGAAAGCCCCAGCGCCAGAGAGCCCGCCAGGGCCCCAGGCCCGAGCACAGGGCGCCTTTCCGCTCTCCCCAGCCAGGCCTCGATGCCAGGGCTGGCCAGGGAGGAAGCCTCTGCCAGGCTGTGCGCACACAGACAGACAGACAGACGGAGAGAGACAGAGCCGCTGTTCAACTTGCTTTATTGCCTGGAGCGCCTAGAAGAGCAGGCGGTGCAGAGGCAGAGCCCCACAGGGGCCAGCACAGGCCCGGGGCGAGTGGGCTTCCCTTCTCCGGGTGGAGCCGAGGGGGCGAGAGCGTGGGGGCCAGGGAGGCAAGGGGGGGAGAGGGGAGGCGGCTGGCCCAGCCCCTCAGAGGTTGTTCAGTTCCAGCAGAGTCTGATCCAGGACTTGGTGGATGTTGACATTTTCCTCTTTGGCACTGGCCAGGTTCTCTACAAACAAAAGGAAGGCAGGCGGGCGGGCGGGCACCCAGTCACATCCACAGCACCCGTGGGGTGGAGGAAGACACACGCACACGCGCACACACACACGCGCACACACACACACCAAGGAAGAGTTCAGTTCAGCAGCATTGCCTCTGCAAATGAGCAGGTTACTCCAATGCATGCCCCCCCACCCCCACGTACCCAGCAGCCCCCCCACCCCCCACCAGCAGGCAGGCCGCTCGACCCAGTGGTTCTGCGGAGGGCAACCAGCCGGGCACTCCAAACACACCCAGCTCTGCCCGGCTGCAGCTACCGAGGGAGACCACCGTGTGGGGAGAGAGAAGACGGCCAGGCTCTGAGCAGACGCCTCCACCTCACTCCCCCGGGTGACTCTGGCCTTGCGTTGTCGGGGCCACAGGGACAGGAGATGGTGGGAGAAGGAGAGAGCGAGAGAGCGAGAACGAGAGAGCCGCTTGCACCGTCCTCCAGCGCTCCCTGAAGAAAGGGCAGGAGGAAGAATTGGGACAGATCAGGAGTCAGTCAAGGAGAGAGGCGGAGAAGAGGGAGAGGAGGAGCCCCTCCGGCAGGAAAAAGGCACTAGAGGGGGGGGCAGCCTGGCCGGAAGCCCCGCCCCCGGGCACCCTCCCAAGGGCAGCAGGGGACCCTTCCTCCTCCATTCCCCCCAGCCTCCTTTGGGACCCCAGCCGCCCGCCAGCAGCCCCCGCGGCCAGAGAATGCAGGAGCCCCCACCCCCCCGGCCCTGTGGCCCCGCCCCACCTGCGCCAAGAAAGGGGCTCCCCGGGAAAGGCCACCACTGAGGATGACTCGCGGGTCAGTGAGGAGAGGACGGGGGTCTTGCCGCCTCCTGCCCACGGCGCTCTCTGGAACGGTGAGAAAGCGGCAGGCGGGCAGCCAGGAAGGTGCCTGGTGGGGGTGGGGTGGGGGTCTTGGGAGCACAGGAGACAGGAAGGCCAGCAGAGGGCGGCGGGGGCCGGGGGGATGCCCCTTGTGGACTCTCTTCTCTTCCTCGCGCCAACCCTCGGAAGAGGCATCCCAGTGGATCTGGCCGGGGGCCAGCGGGGGCTGGGGACCACGGGGACCCTGGAGAACTGGGGGGCCGGGATCCCTGTGAGGAGGGGACCGAGGTCCAGATGGAGCAGGACTGCCGTGCCCGCCCGGAGGGAGGGAGGGAGGGAGAGTGCTGCCTCGGCCTCTCTCCAGCCCCCTGCTCAGCAGGCTGGCCAGGTGCCTGATCTTCACCCGGCATGGTCCCACCCCCCAGCCACAGAGGGCACGGAAGGCAAAGTCTTCTTTGTGGCACACACACACCCACACACCCGCCAAGGGCAAGACGTGGACGGGCAGAGCGGCCCCTCAGGAACCCTCAGCCAGAGGACCAGTAAAGAGACCGAGAGACAGAGAGACCGAGAGACAGAGACAGAGGCTGTGCCTGCCGAGAGCGTTTGTTTATTAAACCAGAGTCAGAGCGAACAGAGTCCCGAAAGGCTCAGAGTGAGCCGCACAGACAGGCAGGGCAGAGCAGGGCAGAGGGGGGATGCGGCAGCAGGGGTCTCTCTCGGGGACACGATGCTTCCCCCCCTTCCTCGAGGTGGGCCTGTCCCCAGACCTCCGTGGAGCGGGAAGGAGGTCAGGACAGGAGCCAGCCGGAGGGGGCCCACCGCAGTCTCAGGGAGAGCTCAACCAGCCCCCAACAGGCCCCCACCCTCCACGGGGGACCCCTGCTCTGCCCGGGAAGGCACTTCTGGCACAGGAAGGGTTAGGTGGGGCTAGCCCATGCCCACCCACGCACCCACGCACACGGGTGTGGGGAGAGGGGGAGGGAGCCGAGGTGTGCGGACCGAGAGAGAGGCACTTGCGGCAACTGGACAGACGGACGGACGGACAAACGGGGGGTGGGGGGGGAGGCGG